CCAATACATTACTCCTGGACATACTCATACAAGCATACGTAGTAAAGATATCTCTTCTAAAGAGGGGGAAAAACTAGCTCTGTGTCCATCCATATTAATAAGTTATGTTAACTAAGAATTTTTAATTCAAAAGTGGCTTACTCAGATGGCAGTTAAATACTTGATGGTTGAACTTCTGAATTATAATCATACTACAGGTTGGATCTCTGTGGTCTAGCACTCTTGGGACCTGGCCAGTCCCAAGCAAGAGTATTTGCTGGACCAGGGAGGTCCCCTGTCACTGACCTCCCAGGCACCCACCAACTCTGCTTCTGTTGCCAGCTGGCCACCACTGCCTTCAGCCAGCTGTGCTGCTGGCCCTGGCTGGATGCCTCAGCCCTGGGACTCCCAGCTGCACTGCCTGAGGCCCCTGCCACACTCCTGGCTGCCCTGCTGGTAGCTTGTACTGAGCTTCTCCCTGTAGCGATGTGCTATTATTAGAACTCAAAGTTCTCCCTAAGTAGCACGTTGCTACAGGGAGCAGCTCTTTATAAACCACCAGAGCTCCCTGTGCTGGCAGGTCTCCTTACGCTGCCAGAGCCCCCTGCTGCTGGGCTCTTGGTTGTATTGCGGGATTCCCTGCGCCGCCTGAGCCTTCTGGCGCTGTGCTCCCCACATTGCCTGAGCCCCCTGCCCACCACTGGCCTCTCTGCACTTGGGCTCTCTGGTCTAGGAACATCTGTAGTCCGGTTTAGGGAGGTACAATCTGTAGTGAAGTATTTTTTTCTGGTAATAAAACCGTTAAATAAGTTTAAACTTACCTGAAACCTTTTGTATAAAGATCTGAAACTTATTGTTTTTACAAATAATGCCATAACTTCTGTCTGGTACTTTTTTTGCCTTCTCAGATACCTTTTCCTTCTCTTCCTCCCACACCCACAATTGAGTAACTTCTGTCTCTTTAATACCTCTGCTTCTTATCACTTCATTTCTCTTGTGATTGCTTCAGAACTCGGGGAATGCAGCCTTCTATTGTCCAGCAAGAATTATTGTATAGAGATGGTTGGCCTTTCTTCTGCTTTTCCAGTATTGCCCAAACAAAACTTCCCTAGTGTTGCTTCCTATCACTGCCACCTTTAAAGTGACAATTTAGATATGAACCTTCTCTTGGTAGCATCTAAGAGTTAACACTTTTAGCCCTGTCTTTAAATATAGCAATAAGCTATACCAGCATGTGTAGTATTACTGTAGGCTGTTGGTCAAGATAATTCATTTGAGATGTAAGCCTGAAAAGGAGTTTCTTCAGCTTTCATAAAGTGTGCACTAAAAGATGACTAACACCCGCTCTTGAATGGCTTATTTCTGTGAGTATAGTTACCTATGGCACATGGATGTGACTTGCACTTTTCTCCCCTTCAGAACAACATGTAAGAAAGAAAGGCATGCATTGTTTCTTTCCACAGTGAAACATAATGGTTTTATGATGTATTCTTGAAATTATTACAGGTTGAACCTCCCAGATCCGGGACTCTCTGGTCTAGCAACATCCATGGTCCAGCAAAGCCACAGATGTTGCTGGACCAAAGAGCCACAGGAGCGGGAGCCAGCCAAGAAAATGTGGAGTCTGCAGAGTACTGGCTGGGCCAGCAGCAGCTAGGCAGGGGAACCCCAGGGCCAGGCGGCATTGGGGAGCCTCTGCCCTGGCTGGGGAACTCCCCGTGTTAGTGGAGTTAGGTGGCTGGAGAGCCCCTGACAGCAGGCTGGCGGCGGCCAGGTGGCCCTGACTGGGGAATCCCAGAAACCCTCCCCCGCTGGTAGCCAAACCAGGCAGCGGCCTGGGAGCACCATTTGGGGAACTCTGGCGGTGGGACCAGGCGACAGCTGGGGAGTCCCCATCCCAACAACCTACAGTGGAGCTGGGCCAGAGCAGTGGGGCCAGCGGTGGCCAGGAGCCCTTCGGCCAGGGAACCCCAAGGAACCCCCGGAGATAGTGGGGCTATCAGCAATTAAATAGGGCTGTTGGCGGCCGGGCAACCCTGGCTGGGGAACTCCTGGAAAGCCCCGTCTGTAGCAGGGGCAGCAGGGTGGGGAGCCTCAGCCTTGAGAGCTCCAGGGAGATAAGATGTCAGCAGGGGAACATTGACTTCCCCTGGTCCAGAAAACTCCCTGATCTGGGATAGCTCAGGTCCTGAGGGTGCCGGACCAGGGAGATCCAAGCTGTACATAATTTTAGCTGAAGAGACAATATGTACAGTGACACCAGCTTTATGCTCTCTTCATCTTCCCTTTTGACTTTTACAGTGTATATGAAACCTGAATTGTACCCAGTTTAGGTTTGGAACTCTGAGGCTGTTCTGGGAGTGTGGGTTCCCATTGTAGAAGTTCTGTTTTCAAAGGAAAAACAATATTTCCCTTCTTCTACCTAGCAGTTGCACATTAGCTGTGCGGTCATTATGTATAGGCTAGGAACCTGAATTGTGTGATAATTTGACAGTTTCATATTCATAATAAGAACTGAGGAGACAGGGAAACCAGGGAGGAAGACTACAGTTAAACTAGAAGTACCATTAAGAGGTAAAAGAATTAGGAGTCATAACTTACATCTCTGTTCTTTTGATTTTGTAGTTTTTAGGGTGACACACTGTCTCTAGGGATAGCAGAATACCGTCTTCATGAACCAAGAAAGGAGATAACTTAATCCTACAAAATATGAAGAAAATCAATATAACCACTCAGTATTGCCCGGGCATGGTTTTCATTGGATGGGATATTGATTTCCTATTCCTCTTGTGTTTCTGAGTAGAATGAAAACAAACATATTACCATCTGATAAAATCTGAGACTCATTTGAACACTTTCATCCACTTTAATTCCATAATTTTTACTGACACAATCCTTTCTGATAACAAAACCATACTACAGGTAAAATACTAGTTTTACCGTATTTTTTTGTTTGAGCATTCCAAACACACTTGTCAGAAAAGATAATGTATAAATAATAAAACATCGTATTTGAATTTTTATTTCTGAATTCCATTGTAGTGCTAACTAATACAAGGCTTGCTTCAGCTGGCTTTTTTATTAAACCAAAATATATTCTGAATTATAATTGGTCAATTAGGAATTAATTATTTTCTCTCTCTCTCTCAAGGTGGTTTCTTGGATTATAACAATATGGATATTTGGATCCTTGACAATTTTTTTATTGGCCAGGGTTCTTGGAGGAGAGGTAAGTAGCAATTGGAAGTGTGATGATGATGATAATAACAAAGTAAAATGTGTGGATGCTTAACTTGCTGCACTTTAAAGTCACGTTGTTACTCAAAAATCTTGACCTCCTATATTTAGACTTGAATTCTAGCACAGTGCTGTCTGTGGAACATATTGATGTCAGTTAAAATTGAGATTGAACGTCAATTCTTAGAGCTAATCAGATAAAAAACTGCAGCAAAGATAGGTGGTAGCTCAAGAACATGACCAAAAAATAAGAGCCAATCCAAATCTTTGCCCTAAATTCTAACCAAAACTCATTTGTTCATGTAAGTCTGGATTTTAAAACAATTTCATATGCATTTATTTAAATTGCTTGCATTTACTGACAACTTGGTTAGAATCAGGAATATGTCTTAGACTTCTGAGTATCCGTACTACAATTTTCACTGCTAATGTGAACTTCTATCTTTAACTTAAGCATCCAATGGAAGAGTTATTTTTGTGTGGCAGCTAATTGCAGATATTCTGAATTAATGACCATTGTCGAGTTGACTGTTAATTTGCAATCTGACAGTGTATGTCATGCATCCCATGCTAATTTCTAAATGCTGCAGTAATTATGTAACACTTACTTGAAATGCATTACTCTGTCATTACCAGTGAAGAACCTTGGCATTAAAAAGACTGGAAGTAACCAGTCGTTAAAATTTGCATAAATATATTACCCTGTGAATTTACATTCTAATGACAATGTCAAAAATTCACCTGGCACATTTTAATAACTTTAATTTGGAGCCACAAGACAGAAGTATACGCTCAATGCTTTACTTAATAGAACTCCATTGTGACAATGTGTTTTCTCTGTTGACAAAAGTTATGAGCTAGATGGAAGAATTTTTTTTATTCTTTACTAATTGATTTATAAATTACAGGTTGCATATGGGCAAGTTCTTGGCGTGATAGGATATTCTTTACTTCCACTCATTGTAATAGCACCTGTCCTCTTGGTAGTCGGATCATTTGAAGTTGTATCTACACTAATAAAAGTGAGTTCAGTAAAGTTTGTTTGTCACGAGGCTTCAAAATATTATGTTGCCCTGAACAAAGTAATAATTTTAGTAACATACGATAGAATTTTAAAAGCACTACTTGAATTCTTGTGACCCTCTTGTCCAGCATAGCAGGTGACTGCTAACAAGTTCTGATTTAAAGAAAATGTTATCCTTTGAATGCTGAGATTAGGGCCACATAGTCCCTTTGCTGCAGTAAATGCTTATGGATAACTAAGTCAGTCCCTATTTAAAATTTTAGTACCCTGTAATCTTTACTTCAAAAACATGCAAGTAGTTAATATCCAGCATGTTCATGCAGAGAAAGAGGAAATAAGGAAGCACAGGACGCTACCGTTTTGAAACACCACAAAAAGCCTTACGCCGGGCTACCCACAGCATTTCAAAGCGGCAGTGCTGCACGGAGCCTGGGGTCAGCAGGGGAGTCCCCAAATGATCCTGGGCTCCACGGGGCGCTTTCACCTTTGAAGTGCATCAACAGCCTTAGGGTTGATGCAAAATGCATTGACTATTCGATTAGTCAGTTACACGCAATTTAACATCCCTAGTGTGCTAGAAAAGTTTTGGTAGTTGGGTAGACATTTTATAGACTATACAGTGTCTGTATTAGATGTACTCTGAGTTCCTAAATCCCATTTCTAAGATAACTAATATGGATTTATTGTAGTAATAATTGCCTCATTTTTCCATTGGTACACCCTAGAGTTCTGTAGTCTTCAAGAGTGAGACTCCTGCCATAGGTGACCTCTTTAGACAGGGGGAAAACTATTTATATGAAGGGAAGAATTTATAGATATAGATTAAGATTTCCAAAGTTGCTTACATACAAGGTAATTTAAGGCCTTTGAGAACTTAATCCATAATCTTTCAGGATTCTCTCTCATTCATTCACCCTGCCCCCCAGACTTAAAAGTGAGAGGATTCTGGATATGATGTGCTCATGATTAAGGCTAGGATTTTCAGAGAAGTCACAGTATAGGCACTCACCTCTCATTAACTTCCTTCAACCTTTTTGAAAATCCCAGACTCTCACTCTGGCCAATCATGTATATGTTCCTCTTTCCTCTGTGATGTTAATATTTACAGAATTTTTTTCAAAATACTGATTTTACATCTATCGTGAAGGGATGCTCTTGCTCCCTGTTATTGAAAGAAATTGGTTTTGCAGAGCCCTTGAGGTAGGAGTATGCTGCAGTAAAGGAGACTAAAGTCACCAGCCAACAGTTTCTCAAGAAGGCCAAATATTCTAGGTTTTCCCATGATTTGCTCCCCTGGAATAAAGGTCTCTATACTATCTGAATATTTAAGTTTTAGGGATGTGAATGTGTAACTGGTTAACCCGGAAGCCTCACTTTCTCTGTGGCAGGCTCCAGAGCAGCCCCTGCCTGTGGTGGGGAGCACCCCACTTGTTCCCCTTTAATGGGTTAACCAGTTAAACATGTTGTTTAACCAGTTAATGTTAGATTTCTTTCCTAATGATCTTCAAGAGAAGTACTGATTTTTGTATTGGTATCTGGACAGATTTTCTTGTATTGTGAGCTAACACTATGCCTCTTTTTTCTTTTTCTTTTAAAGCTGTTTGGAGTCTTTTGGGCTGCATACAGTGCTGCTTCATTACTAGTTGGAGAAGAATTTAAGACTAAGAAGCCCCTTCTGATTTATCCCATCTTTTTATTATATATCTACTTCTTGTCCCTATACACGGGGGTGTGATGTGGCCAAAAACGATATTTTAGTCACATGCAGACTGATAAAACTTAAGATTAAGGAGACTGGAGAAAATAGGAGAGACTGTTTTGTATCCAGTTGTTGAAAGGTTTTTAAGACCTAAACACACATTTGTGTATATTATTTAATTGAGCAATTATAGATATGTGGATTTGTATCAAAGTTCTAGGTTTAAGATTCTTTAGATTTTCATGAACTAAATATAACAACCTTGTGTTTTATAAGATTGTGTCGCAAAAATACAGCTAACCTGTGCCATAAGCACCAGGACCAGATTATTATATTATATTATATTGAATGGGAATATAAGAAAATATTGGTAATGGTCTCAAAGTGCAATTTTTCTGTTCAGTTAAACACAGCTGGCTTTTTTGGCACAGAAAATTCTGTGTATGTTTATGAAACAGTCCTGATGATTCACAGAAGAGGCTCTATAATTGAGATATGAAGATATTAGTATTTTTTTATGTTAGAGACCCAGATTTCTTTGATTTGGCTTTTAAGATTTTATAAGTTCCAGTTAATTTTGAATAAAACCCTGCACATGTGTATTTTGTATCTATTGCTTGTGTATAACATATATACTCCCATTTAAGGATGTACATTAGGTTTTTAAACACTTGAAGACCCAAGCATTTTAATTAAAATCCTCATCTCTCTACCCAAAAGAGCAAGGCTTCTACTGTGTAACATTAATTCACTAAATGGTTTATTTACAAAATCAGATTATTTTATATTTACTGAATTTGAAGTCACACAAAATGACCTTTCAACTGCATAATTGGAGTATAGCGTGGGAGAGGGAAGATAATGTATGAAATTTATGTGAACTTGAGAAATGTTTTAAAATGACAAAATAAACGGAGTGCTTCCCTAACCTTGTATCTGTTTTGTAACACCTTGTTCTGTATTGCTTTTAATGGTATGTAATTTAACCAGTCAGGGGCGTTTTTCTGATGTACTGTTCATCTTTTGTAAAATGAAGTATTAAGAGTCTTAAAAACCTGATTCTGCCTCCATTGAGTAAGGAGGGTAGAATTAGGGCCCTAGCAACAAATTCAGTCACACCAATTTTGACTATTGAATTATGTAACATTGTGACAACATGTTAAATACTTCCTATGTATAAATGGCTTATATCATGGTTCATGTTGATAATATTAATGGAAATTATGGAAAGAAGAAAATTTTATTGAAGATAACTTAGCATGTTATCTTGTTTGCTATCTTTAGTAGATAACATTTTGAAATCAGTTTTGACTGATTTGCAAAAAAATTATGAAATTTGTTTCTTAAAAAATTGCAGTACAGCCAAGAATCCTTACTGTAAATAAAAAAAAAAACCCTATGAACCATTATAAGGTGATATAAGGAGCTGCCTATGCTCTATAATAGTCAAATTACTATGATTTAGCATCAGTTATGCAACAATTTTAATAAAAATCTCTATATAATTTGAAAGTTTAATTAATTTTATGTAATTTAGATTTTAGTAATATTCCTCATTGATTAAAATTCAGATTTAAATTCTCAGCCTCCAAAAGAGACTTTAGTTTCTATAACTTGATTCACTGCATGGGTATCTGGTGGTTTTAAATTACATTACTTAAAGTTGGTGCTGGATAAATGATGTGATAGCAAATCCTAGCATGTTAACTCTCATAATACTGTAAACACACAATGACTTTGGTATCATCAACTTTTAAACTAATCTTTGACATCAGTGGAAGTTTTGGTTGAATAACAACTGCAAGTTTTTATACTGAGCAAATAGTATGGGTTCTAAAAATCTATTCTATATTTATAGTTAGTGAACCTTAACCTATACAAGTTTATTTTACCAATTTACCTTACTGCATAATAATCTATAGTAATTGAAATTCATATCCCAAAATGTTTTAAAAGGATTTGTACTGATTTAAAATACAGTAGAATATGCAGTGCAGCTTTCTCAGCTATGATTCTGGCAGAAATTTAAATAATGTGGTTCTTATGTTTTATCATTTTATGACTATACTCAGTATTTAACAAGATGACCCAATTAGCATTTTAAACTGTAAAGAAACTAAGTTGGTATGAATGAATGAGTTAACTGCATCATAAACACTAGGGGTTAACACGCTTAAAGTCTGGTAGGTATTGAATCAGTTTTTACTATTTCTTGTCCACCCTTTCCAGGTTGTGTTGCAGACAACTTCATGACATGTTTGTGAATATAAGATGACAGTATGAATTTAGGTGCTGACAGAGAGGGATTAAGATCATTCTTTGTACACACCCAGCTTCCTTGTTCATATGGGACCATGATCATATTTCTTTAAAAATCTTAGATTCTTTGTGTTAATATTCTCTTAGAACTATAGTTGCTGCTTTAATTGTTCCCTCCTGCAAACTATGGAGTGTGTGATATCTCGTGTATATATGCATATAAAATAACAAGTCATATAACTGCAGAATTGCACCTTTTAAAGTAATTGTATTTAGTTTTGCATCTGCTAGTGGAAAAAAAATACTTAAACAGTTCTCAAAAGGTTCCAATAGTCTATTACAACTTTGCATTCAGTTCATTCATTTTCAGAATAGGTCTGTATATAAATACAGTACAAGATGTATTTTATAAAGATTTGTAATTAAACTTGTTTACAGAATGTATAAAGCTTATTTATAGTCACTGAATCAAAACGTATGCAGCCACATTCCTATATATGTAATCAATTTCATGTTCTAAATTTGTAAATAAATTTTTAGGATTTATGAAGTATACGAACTTCCGTTTTGTACTTGAAAATGTTCACCTATTTCTTGTCAGTGCAACTTCAAAGGTGAAGCAACTATTTTCCAGCTATGCTTATTTGCAAAGGCATGGATGCAACAAGATGGGACTTGCTTGTGCAGTGAAAATCCTGTTCTGGCAAACTTATATGCATAGTGACCAGGTATGTACAAAGCAATATTTTCCCTTTCTCCTCACTTGCAAAATTGGTAGCTTTTGATGAAAAAGGCAGTACAGTTGCAGGAAGTGGTATTGCCATAAAAGTGCTTTTATCAGGCAAAAATGACAGACTTTTGCAAGGAAGAAACCGCTATCTTATCTTTAAGTTCTCTTGTAAAATTACACACTTGAATTTTTCATGTTCAATTGAAGTAATGAGAAGTTGCTTAAAAGGTACAATCATTTTGGTCCTCAAAGCACATGTTTCTGCCTTCCCTTTTCACTATTCTGCATCCTGTCTTCATACCACATCTACTTTCTCTGCCATTTGTTCAAATCTCTGTTCAGAGATAAACCCTGATGTTGGTTCAGCTGCAGCAGCACATACTGCCTATCTCATTAACTCCTACTGTAAAACAAATCCTTCTGTTTATATTGAACCCTTATAGCTTTTGTCTATAATAACTGAACATCTCAAATGCTTTCCTATAAAGCAACAGCAATAAATTTTTTTTAAACCTTGTCACATGGCATCTTCAGCTAAATGACAGAGTGCCTGTTTATATTGTGTATCTAGCTTCCAACTGCTGGAAATGGTTCCAGTTTGGGAAAAGTAAGGGAGAATCTGTTATCATAAAGACAGTTGACCACAAAACTTAGTTTAGCAAATCTAGATAGTTGAGTATTTTAAGCGGCTATTTTTTACCTTGAAATGTTTATAGAACAGCTTCATTTTTAGAGTAATTAGAATTTGAAGAGCACTGCTGTTCAGCACTGGACAAGCATAGCTTTCATCTTGAAGCTGTTAGGGGCTTATGCAAATGCTAATGAAACCAGTGAGAGAGTGACTTCAATGGGCTTTAGACCATGGACTTGACTATGGGTACATCTACACAGATGAAGAACCTACGACTGGCCTGGATCAGTTAACTCCTGCTCACAGAGCTCCAGGGCTGAAAAACTGCTCTGTAGATATTCGAGTTTGGACCCTGCATAGGGTCTCTAAACCCAAACATCTACACAGAGGTTTTTAGCCCTGCACCCTGAGCATCATTCAGCTGACTCAGGGGAGTCATGACTATGCTGTAGGTCTTCTGTCCCTGTGTAGAAGTACCCTTAGGCTATGTCTACACTACAAGGTTTTTGCGCAAAACCCGGTGGAGCATACACACCTCAAGTGCGTTTTTGTGCAAAAAAAAATACAGTAAATAGACAGGACAGAGGGCTTTTGCTGGTAGAGTTATTCCTCTCCTCATGAGGAATAACTCCTTTTTGTGCTACAGCTCTTGTGCAAAAAGGCATGTGTGCACACTCCGCAGACGTTTCTTGTGCAAAAACAGCCTATCAGAAAAAGCACAGGTGCTCTGATGGCCATTCTGTTAATGGCAATCAAGAGCTTTCTTACGCAAGAGCGTCTATGCAGTGTGGACGCTCTCTTGCGCAAAAGCACATCGCTTTTGCGATGTGCTTTTGATGTGTGGACATGCTTTTGCACAAGAAGCTTCTTGTACAAAAACCCTGCAGTGTAGACAAAGCCCTAAAGACAGATTTTCAGAAAAGATCAGCATTGTTCTCAGAAATGATACTGCATGCAGGGCATTTTCCATATCTGGCTGCTTTCCTTAGGTGCAGAAAGGTTAAAGAGTTTAACTTCCACAATCTTGCCCCAATTTTCATTTCCTACCCTTTGGATTTTTGCAGTGGCACTGAAAGAGTAAAAGCTGTGTTCTTTCATCTCAGTAGATTCATGAATAGCACCTTCCTCACACCATCCTTCAAGATCAGTAAGGGATTCTTAAAATAGTATATTCTTGGATGTCAACATGGCAACATAAACCCAGGATCTGAACTCAGCTGAAAACTAACCCCCACTCTGGCTGCACAAATTTGCTACCCCGGGGCTTGGCTTGGGGCTCAAGGACCCTATGAGAGTAGAGGGTCCCAATCTGGTTCAAGCCCTGCTTTTTGGCAATGTAAACACAGCCCTATTAGACTTAGGCTCTGAGAGTCTGCCAAAAGTAGTCCACAATCCCATGGCCTGAATTTTGTCCCCTGGACAGTCAAATTTGATGGACAGTCAATTTTTCCCATGCTGCACCATGAAGAAAAGGCTAGAGCAGCCACATTTTGAGAAGGCACTAGGAAGTTTGGCCTATGGGTCATTTGAAATCATGCCTGTATAATACAGTGTAGGTAAAGGTTGGACATCCCTGGTCTGGCACCCTCAGGACCTGACAGGTCCCGGATGAGGGAATTTGCTGGACAATGGGAGGTCCCATGACACCAGCCCCTCAGCCCACTTCTCCTCCCTGCTGCTGATTCCTTTGGCCTGGCTAGACTGCCTGCTAGTCAGCTCCACCCCAACTCCCCTGCTGGCTGGGCGGCCCATGACCCCAACCCCACTGCCAGGTGGCACGCTGTCTGATTGGGCTGCTTGCAGTAGCACATGGCCCCAGCTGTGCTGCTTCTGTTGGGCTACCATGACCCTGGTATCTCACCAGACAGCCCAAATCATGCCACCTTCATCCTGGACACTGCAGCCCTGACCAGGCTTCCCCTCCTGGGCTGCCATAGTCCAGGTGCTGCTGCTGAGCAGCAGGCAGCCCCGCTTATGATCTGCTGCAGTCTGCTGCTGCCCCACTTCTACCAGACTTGCCAGGCTTACACCAGATTCCCAGCTATTGGCCCTTCTGCTCCAGGACACTGCCATCCAGGAACATCTGAGGTCATGCCAGACCACGGATGTTGCTGGACTAGAGAATCCCGGAATGGGGAAGTGCAACCTGTACTAGAGCCCCAGGCTGGTATCTGGGGTTATAAATTACCTGAAACCATAGCTGAGGGCTGCTAACATGAGTTCTATTACCCCTGAGTGTCAGTTTAGGCCACTGATGTAAAAATGAGATACAGCAAATAAAACTTGCTCTCAAGGGATGGATAAAAACACTGG